CAAACCAGAAAAAAATTTCTCTGTATTTGTTTACAATTTTAAACAAAGTAGAGAAAATTATACATAGAAAATTGAAATTTCTCTCCAGATAAATTATGGACTTCTCAGATAAATTTTTAACTCAAGCTTTCATCATCTTCTTCCTCCAGAGAAATTATGAGAATCCAGAGAAATTCCAAAACAAATCATGCTATGTTTTATGTTTTCTTGGGAATTAATTGCCTTTTTCTTTTTTCTTTTTTTTGAATAGGGGAATTAATTGCTTTGTTGACATTACTTACCAGGAATGACGGTGGAAAGAGTATGGAGATGGCAGATCAGTAGTTTCTAAATTGGGTTCTGTGAAAACGGAGGCAGACCAGAGTTTTTTTGTTGAAAATATTTGATTTGATTTTTGCCGGGTAATCGGCAATGATGTTTAATTTGAGAGAGTCAAATTTCTTTGTGATATATGGGTGTGGGGTTGAAGGACTTTAGACATCACAAAATAATATTGTGGATCTCTTCAATTATTAAAAATAGAAGATGGATCTTAAACTAATTTTCTCTAAAATAAAACATTTTAGATTATGAGGGAATTAAACCAAATATGGCCACTCTCTATCGCTGGTGTGCTCTACCTTGCCCTCCCCTTCTCTCCCCTCCTCTCTGCCACCTCCCTCCTCTCCCATATCCTCTTTCCCATGCCTCCTTTCTTTCCCAACCTCCTTTCCATTCTTCTTCTTTTCGTCTTCCTAGATCTAAGGTTTCAAGGTGAATCAAGATTGAAATATTCTTCCAAGATCTAGCGTTTTAAGGAGTTGCAACTTGCAAGGGTTAGCGAAAGTTGCACAAAGGTGGGGGAGAGGGTTGGGTCACAACTCACGAAGAGGGATAGTTAGGGTTAGAGTTTGAAGGTTAAAGAAGACGAAGATAGTTTTTATGAAAAACCAATTTACATTCAAACATTGGCCATGGATTATCTGTTTTAAATTCTTTAAACCGTTTGTCTTAATACACGCTCACACAAAATCATATGAAATCTCGAGATATAATCTAATAACTAAAGATGCATTAGGACATTACAATTTGGAGACAAAATCTAGGGTAAAACAATTGATCTTATTGAACTTTTGAAAACAACAAAAAGAAAAGAAAAAAAAAAGAAGAAGAAGAAAGAAAGAAGTAGCTTTGCCGAATGGCAATGCATTTTCTGGTTTTTTTTAGGGAACAGCACCGTCACAACGGCAGCATGACGGCTGCGGAATAGTAGTGCAGCATACACAATTAGCACAGAGAGGTCCCTGAAGGAGTTCTGTAGCAACAAAAACACAAAAAACAAAAATAAAAAACAGTTCATGAATGTCTGAATGAAACATATGCAATTGGAATATATGCATATTGGTGGTGATGAAAAATCAAAATATATACGTCGATGATGAGTGAATCGAGCTGCATCACATAGTAACAGACAAAACAGCACAGTCACAACGGCAGCATGACGGCTGCGGAATAGTAGTGCAGCATACACAATTAGCACAGAGAGATCCCTGAAGGAATTCTGTAGCAACAAAAACACAAAAAACAAAAATAAAAAACAGTTCATGAATGTCTGAATGAAACATATGCAATTGGAATATATGCATATTGGTGGTGATGAAAAATCAAAATATATACGTCGATGATGAGTGAATCGAGCTGCATCACATAGTAACAGACAACAGAAAAGGATGGCAAAGATGATGTCACCAGAACAGACCTTGGAGAGTAATTTTTCATTATTGGATGATTATAATTAAACAATCTTTTAGATTTCTGAATAGTTGGGTGGTCAAATCATCTATACTATTACTTTGGGCATATTTGTACAAGTAGTGCGGGTTGAATTTAATTTTGGGTTTTTTTTTTTCTTTAAATTTCTTTTAATTATATCATCAAGGAAAAGATATTGGTGATTATTAGTTAGAATTCACTCGAGTCAATGCGTCTCGCAGCTTATTTGGACTTTCTTTGAGTTTTTAACATTTTTTTCAATAGTTCACCTAATACATCAACTTAAAGCTTGGTACTCATGTGATGGCAGATTCCACGGTAGCAGTAGTTGTAGCTCTACATTAGGAGCACGGGGATCTTTCTATTTAAAGGAGGTGTATGGACCCCATTTGTCAATAGAGATCTCCCATTTCGAAAGGTAACTGGATGGTAGGATTGTGCAAAATATCTTTCAATTCGTTAAAATCGCATCAATTTACATTGCTCGATCCGCTAACCGTGATTTAAATTTTAAAATTTATAATCCGCTTTTAAAATCGCTCCGCTCTGCTATAGTTAATACATATTTATTTTTTAATTTATAATGAAATATCAAAGTAAAAATGAGTATGAGAAAAAGTTGAAAATTCAACCTATAAAGTTGAAGATTTAAATTTTAATAAATTCAAACTCGAGATGTTCAGCTTGAATCTTACGAATGAATCGAAAGTTAAATTCACATTGAATCTTTACCTAAATCACAGTCAACGAGTTGGTCCCAATTAGTGCAAAGTTGCAAGGCAAAATATTTATATATATATGTATATATATATATATATATATATATATTTATTTTATTTATTTATTCCAGTAATGTTGGAGTTGCTCTTATTTGAATTAAAAAGGTTGAATTTCATGGTTGGGTATTAATGGAAACCAATTAAGGATATGTTTGAAACTTCAATTGTAATTCCGACCTCACAAATATCCTTTTCCTTCTGATCACAGCCATTCATCAATGTTAAATTTTGGCTTTGACTGAATTGTTTCTACAAGGAAAAACGAGTGGATCTTATCTTAGACTATGCAACTTGAAAATATAGAAAAATAAGTAAAATATGTATTGAAATTTTAATTTTTTTGTGATATTATTTGATTATTAACGTCCATTGAGCTATGATTAACAAGATTCAAGATGTATTTATATGGCATGAGGTAGGTGGGAATGAATAATATTATATGTATTAATTGGTATATCAATTAGTGTACTAACAAGCAATATGACCATTGCTACTGATGCAAGCCAAAATTTATTATTTCATTGTGATGATATCTGAGCTACTTTAATTAAACTATTCATTTTTTACTAACTAAAATATAAGAAGGCGATTCATTTTTTATCTATATACTGGAAAAGGGGTGCCTGCTGTACAGCAGGCACTGCTGTGCTACTCCACCCATGGTTTTGGTTTCTTTTTTTTTTCTTAATATAATTTTTCCTTTGTTTTTTTTTATTTATTAGTGTGTGTTGTATGCATGGCACCTCCTGCTGTGCTTTAAGCACAGCAGGCACCCCGAATCCCTATATACTCCAACACTATTATTTATTTTACTTATTTATATACACAAACTGTTTAAAGAGTCTCCCAAGTCCTATGAAGAACGGGTACGGGTACGAATATTAGTATCGGTACGATACGGATACGTTAATACGGTAAAATTCAAAAAAAAAAAAGAGTACGGGTACGGCTTAGTACACTTGTAAAAAAATATTTATTTTTAATTTAGAGTAATGCAAAAATTAATTAAATGGTTTAATTTGTTAAGGTCCAACCTACAATTAAGTAAATATATAAATCAAAATTAAATGTCAATATATTAAATAAGGAAGCAGCTTGCCTCCAATCCGTAATCGGATTGGACGGTGTTGTTCGGCTCGTGGGGACCCACAACGGGTCCCGTTTTGATAATCCGAACCGTCAATGTGTAGAACTTATTGAGTACTATACCCCTATAAAAAATCACCTTGAATAGATATCGATAGTTATCTTATCTTATCAGTTTTTTTATCAACCGTTAATTTGTTCACCGTCCATTTTTTTTATACAAAACTGATTTGATCACATAGCTATCGATATCCGATCAACTTGATTTTTTACAACTATGTAGTATTCGACGAGTTCTACACATTGAACAGTTCGGATTATCAAAATAGGACTCGTGGTAGGCCCCCATGGGCCGGACAGCACCTTCTAGTCTGATTAAGGACTAGAGGCAAGCTGCTCCCATTAAATAACTTATAAATCATAGTTTAATTTTAAATCATGCTAAGCATAAAATAAAAATTAAAAAAGAAGTCTAGTGAAAGGAGTTTTGTCTCTGAAGTAGAAAAAAATATTATTTCAACTGAAGTACGGTATGGCTTGGGTATATACTAAGGCCTCGTTTGGGAACAGGCTAATTTAGTAACTTTTTGGCTATTTGGCTAAAATATGAGCTAAAAAAAACTATATGTTTGGGATGACTTCTTGGCTTTTTACGAAAAGATGTGCAAAAAGTAGAGAGAAAAGAGAATCTTTGACTTTTTACCACAGGGGGTAAGGTGCTCGTTTGGGAACAGGCTAATTTAGTAACTTTTTGGCTATTTGACTAAAATATGAGCTAAAAAAAACTAGTATGTTTGGGATGACTTTTTGGCTTTTTACGAAAGGATGTGCAAAAAGTAGAGAGAAAAGAGAATCTTTGACTTTTTGGTATGGGTTGTTGCCTTTTTGGCTAATTTAGTAACTTTTTGACTTTTTAGCTAAAAAGGAAGGTTCCCAAACGAGGCCTTAAGAAGAAAATTTTTGTATACATGTTTTGTGTTCTATGTACGTGTTTTATGTACCCGGTATGTATGCAGAAGTATCATACAAGGTACCATACGCCGGTAAGAACCCAGTACGAGTATGACATATTTTTCGAAATACCCATGCTTCATAGCCCAAGTCTCTTCAAATGTAGCTAACTTAAATTTTTTTTGTTAAACTAGTTATTGTAATAACTAAAGTGACTAAAATTTTATAATGGTAACTATAATAACTAAGGTGTCCCATTTAAATTGTCTATTGGAGACACTCTTATATATTATATGCCAAAGTCTATTTGCATTTTTTATTTTATTTTATTGTATTGTACATGCTTCTTTCATTTTTTTCCCCTTCCGTACATTATCAAACCAGTCACATTTTAAACAATATTGTGACAAATTTATTGCATATGCTAGGATCTCCATGTAAACTGCATCATTTCATTATAATATATCAGGCATTCCAGACGATATCAAAAAAACAAAAACAAACAAACAAACAAACTATTACAATTTCTCCCCCCCCAAGAGTTCCAATTTCAGGCAATAGACTGGCATTGTTTTTACAACAAACAATCCATATTTATTTATACTTATAATTTAGTTTTGTGAAGAAATGCCTGAAATTTGAGAATTAGGGTGTTTCTTCTTCTTGTATTCTATGGGGTTTCGTTTCCAGAAGTCGAAATAGGAGTAGAACAGCAAGGACAACATGAGTTTGGCGGTGGAGGTTCACAACATACACATGCTGGGCATATTGGCCCTTCAAGTTCTGCATCACAAAAAAACCAAACACACAAATTAAAAAATCTGAAACCCGATTGAAAAATGAATTTATTTAGGTAGAAAGTATTTTTTAATTATAAAACGTATATGGAAAATATTTAAAGCATTATCAATGGTACTACCGCTACTGCACCACCACAATGAGTCGGGAAAGCATTTCCAATGAAATTGACTCATTAATGCTGTGTTTGGTTGAGATATTTGATGAAAAATTTGAAAAAAGAAATGAAAAAAAGTAAGTAAAATGTGAATAAAATAAATTTACATTTTACTTAGTTTCATATACCTTTTCCCTTTCTCTCTCTGAATTTTGAAATTCTCTCTCTCTAATTGCCAGATTCAAATACAACGAGAACAAGTTAAAGTGCATGAAAGTAAGAAAAAAAAAAATGAGGATTACCGCGATGAGGGATTCGAGCAGCTTCTAATTCTAACATCAACGGAGATGACACCACGGCGAAGATGATCATAAGGCTCACCATAACAATTCTTGTGGAGCTACTTGCCATTGTTGAGTACTGTTAAAACAAGCTTTGCTAGCTAAATTAATAGTTGATGATCATCTTTGAGGGCCTTTGGACATTTATATAGCCGTTGAGAGGCCAGTTTGGTCAACAAAGTACTATTATAATCACCATTTATTTTTATTATATAATGTTTCAGTTTAATTATCAATACTGCATTGTAAGTATATATGAATGGTGAGACTTATTACATTAATATTTGGTTAAGAAGTGAGAATAGAAATGTGATAAGTGTAGCATGAGAATGACTTGTCTGTAATCCAATCATTGGATTGGACATCGCTGTGGAGCCTTTTAGGAGTCTCATTTTGATCATTTAAATCATTTATTTTTTAAGTCAATTTGTGTAAATTATCTACAAAAAAATTAAGTTGATCCAATATACATAGATACATAATTTTATCACATTTATTTTCAAAAAATATACAGTTTATTTTTAAAACGATTCATGTCTTTCATTTTTATAAATGCTTTACACAAAACAATAATAATAATAATTCAAATGATGAAAACGAGATCCGTAATATAGTGCCATTTGAGAACAAAAGAAAAAAGCTGCATTTTGCAGCTTGGGCCAAAAAAATTTAGCTACCTTCCCAAAAATGACTTTTTTGGCCATCAAATCATTTGGGAAGGTAGCTAAAAGCTACTTATGAAATTACAGTTATACTTTTGATATTGTTTAAAAAAGTCATATGCCTGAAAGTAGTTATTTTTTAAAATGGGTGGGAGTATTTTAGTTTTTTGATTATGATGTGACAGTATAAATAAATATTAAGTCAAAAAATTAAAAAATAATTTTTTTACCAACTTCCCAAATGACTTTCTAAAAAAATAAAAAAACTTAATTAAAAATCAAAAATTAACTTTTAATTATCTTTCTAAAACACCCCTATGTCTCACCAACAACACCATCTAACTTAGAGTGGCGTGGAGACAAGCCCTTCATATCTTATTACATGTGGATGATCAGCCGAGTTATTTGAATTTAATGGTTGAATTCCGTGGTTGTTTATTAATGGAAATTCATTTGAGCAAATGTTTGAAATTTTAGTTATACTACCAAATTTTCAAAAATCTTTTTCTTTCTGATTGCATCATGATTGAATTTTGGCTTCGACGTCATAGTTTTTATTTGACAAGGATTTTCTTCGATATATTTTGTTTGGTACAAATTTATGCAATATTTTTTGATAAAATTTATTACATAAAAAAATTATTATTGATAATCCAAACCCCTTTATCTTAGGCCATAGTATTCAACACTACACACTTAGGAAAAGTCTTTCGAAGCTAGAATATATGAATTAAATTTATTTTAAATTTAAATTTTATTACTGTTGGCTTATTTTTCATACGAAGAAAAATATCATAAATACGAGCGTGCCAGTAAGGATTAAAAAATCTTTACAGATTAAATTCAAACCAATTATCTAACGATTGCGTTGACGGTTCTTTTACCTCAACAAAGAGTATTTCAAAATTGCCAAGTGTAAAGAAAACAAAAATTAAAAGAAGAAAGAGAGAGACGGAAAAAGATGATTGAATGAACAATTAAAGTAATAATTACTTATCTCTACTCCTATGTTTTGAGAAGGAAGTGCATAAAATACTTTGAAAAGGAAATGCTGAAAATAATTGCTTCGAAAAGAAAGTACGTAAAATAAAATGTAAGAAATATAAATGACAAGAAAAATAGAAATTAATTGTCTTTAATTTGAGTTTTTGATCTTTTACAATGTAGCCATTGATGGCTATTTATAAAGGAAAAAATATAGTAATAACTATTTAGTAACTATGCATTTCTTCCATCTTCGTCATTGTCTTGCCATGTATCTTTCCACTCATCCACTTTGTTCTTTATGTTCTCCGACATCTCCATATCTTCTTTTAACTTCCAAATGAATAAGAGGATGCCACGTGTATAGCGATCCCGATTTTACCCCGACCTTTGTTGTGTTCCGAACTCGGATTTCGTGATAGTATGTTGTTGTCTATATCTTATTTCCTCCCTTTAATTCTTTGAATTTAAGTTTTGGGACTTGTTGGGTGAGTTTGGAACAGGTTGGTTGTCAGTTGGTATAAGTGGTTGCTGCCCAGGTTTTGGCTTCTTCGCTCGAGCAAGGTTTTTTACACTCGAGCGAGCCTTGGGTATTTGCTTCTTCGCTCGAGCGAGGATTGAGAGTCCTCAAATTTCTTTTTCAGACACAGCTTTTGCTTGAGCAAGCATTCTTGCGCTCGAGCGAGCCTTGTGTTATTTGTTCCTTCGCTCGAGGGAGTATTTTTGCGCTCGAGCATGTGTCTGTGTTTGTGGCAGACCTGAAGCTTTGCATTGTGCGCTCAAGTGACGCTTCTTGTGCTCGAGCGAGGCCACTGGTTGTGTCTGGTCGCTCGAGCGAGCCTCACATATATCAGTTCGCAGTAGCGTGATTTTATATCACTTTTTGATTTCTTTTCATCCCAAAACCCTAATCCGGCAGCCTTTCTCTCTAAAGCACACTCTCTCTCTACAAATACTCCATGATCTAGAGCCCTTCTACCCTACTTCCTTTATTAAAAAGATAGAGTATCGCGTGGGCTTCCTTTTGATCCGAAAAAGTTCAAATTTGGGGCATCTTCAAGTTTCTCCTTCTTCCTCTTTGAGCTTCTCCATTTGAGGTAGGGATAATCTACTCTTTAATATGAGTTTTAACCTTGATATTTGTCATTTTGTGTAAATGGTAGAGTTGGGAAATTTGGGTGAAGTTAGGGTTTGGATTTGAATTTTCGAAAGAGGGGCTTTCTATTTGGAGCTCCATATGTGTATGTGAGGTCTTGAAAATGGGGTTATTCGTATATAAATGATGAAATTGAGTCTTGGGGGTTGATGTTTGAAAAGGGGGGAGATTTGCCCTAGTATGAGTTAAATAAATTATTGGTATCAATAATGAAAGTGTTATGAGAAATATGAAATTTGAAGGATACACAAATGAGTTATGTAGTTTGATTTGGATAAATTACTCATCTATGGAAAATATGATAAATTATCTATTTGTAGATTTATTTATTTGTTTAGAAATATCTGCTTTGGGCTATCAATAGAAAATATCTATGATTGTTGTAGAAATTACATGAGAACTAGCTAAATTGAAACTAGTCATATGAGTTGCGTCATTGAATATGACAAGCTGATTAAATTGTTGAATATGGGATTTGATTAGTCATTGTATATGACAACATGTTTAAATACATTATATATGTATCATTATTTGGGAGGAGATATGGGATGTACTCCATTGTGTGGGAGAAGATAGGGAATGGACTCCATTGATAATTAAGTTGGCCGGAGTGTCCAGGGTGAAAGTCCTGAAATCATATATTTATGGGTGCCGGTTCCCTCAGACGTAGTCCGTAAAATGGCAAGAAATAGAAGTGTTGGATTGATGAATGTATTAAACTGTAAACCATTGAGTTGTAGTCTCATATTGGTTGCTTTGATAATAATGAATAGGTGTTAATTGATTTACTCGAAGTGGAAGAATGGAAATGAATTGAGATATTGGTTATCTATATTAAATGATCTTAAAAGGAGTATGTGTTGGTTAAAAATGTCGCACATTTATCTAATGTTCATGTTTTAGTTAATTCTCATATATTGTTTAGCATATCTCTACTGGGGTTTAGCTCACCCTACTTGGGAAACCATTTTCAGGTACAGGCGATATGCCACCTCCAAGGACATAGCTTAGGAGGCTTAGAGGCTAAAGGCTCTACTTTTGTGATTTCATTTTGTGTTTATATGTTTCCTTTTAAGCCGAGGGCTTTAATTGTAAAGAGCTTCTGACTCTTCTTTTGTTATAGCCAAGTGATAACTTGGAAAGATGTAAGCCCTTAGGGCATTTATTTTGTTGTTCGAAATTAGAGTTACATGCTATAGTTTCAGGAAGAATATTTATGAAAGTGTAATGCATGTGATAGCTTTTGTAATATTAACTCTGATGAATGAAAATATAACATTTCTATTTTGTCTCTAAATCTTATGAATGGTTGATTTGTATAGTATTTTGAGGGTGTTACAACGTGTTCTGAAAATAATAACAATAATAATGCTAATAAGAAGAATAAGAATATTTCATGGCGCCAACATTACCCCCCGCGATCTTTAAAAATGATGTTTATTTGAATTTTTTAAGGGTCGAACCAAGCACACATACTATCATTTAATTGGCCATCAATTTGAAAAGATAAGTCATTCTCAACCACTAATTTAAATACGTAGGCTTTTCCTAGCCAAGTTCAACATTTCATATGACTAAGTTGTTCTTTAGTGCATCAAGCTCATCAAAACAATGCTTAAAGATAATTGTTTTATTAGCCATTTCATCAAAATTAAATTTTGATGTGAACCACAAATCCAAAAAGGATTTGAACACCAAGACCCATAATACAAGATGGCGTTAAAAATTCAAAAAACTTAACATTTTGATTAATTTCGAAAAATTCAGATTCATGAACATTAAATTGTTCATCATTCTTAGCCATGTTTGGCTTGAGAATATGTTCTTTGGCCAAATAAGTTTCATCATTTATTGACAAACGGAGTTATTTTTCTATTTCATCCATGAATGGATTATGAAAGTCCTCCATGTGAGTTTCATCATTTCTTGGTCTAATGGGTTGTTCCATTTTAGCCATTAATGGCTTATGAAAACCTTTCATAGACATCTTATGTCCATGATTTGACTCTTTAAGAATGGGTTTTTCACCCCCTCGAGTCTTATATGGAACATTATTTTTAACCATGTTTGGCTGAATAACATGTTTTTTAGCCATGTTAGTTTCATAAATAGGCTCTTTAAAAATGAATTTTTTGACCCCCCGAGCCATTAATGAAATCAACTCTTTACTTTTGCTATTTTCAACCATGGAAAAATTCTAAAAAAAATTCACCAATTCTAGCCATTAAAGCTTCAGTTAAAGGCTTGGTAGTGAGAATTGACAACTCATCATTCCATTGGTGAATTTTCATATCAAGTTGATGAATTTCTCTAATTAAATAGTATT